AACTGAAGGGGGGGGGGCGCAGTCCGTAGTAAAAAGACAGGAAAGGTCTTTCTTTTATCTTTAATATTGATGGTAAGAAATTTGTATGGAATTTTTTTTTTTTCATATATAAACAGATGATTAATAGGCGTATGTGTAATTATAAAATAGAAACCCCATATAAAATAATATTATGTATTCACTTCGTGCAGAAATTCGAAACAATGCCACCTGCAGGAGAAAATTTGTCGATGCTAACTAACAAGAATACATAGCATTAGATAGACAATGATAGATTACAAGTGTTTATCTCAGCAACAATTAATATTTAAGAACTAAAATAAGTTTTTTCAGTCCTAAGTAACATATTAATGGCAAATAATACTTTCGTTTTCAATTTCATGAAAAAAAAGTAAATTTTTAGTCTGCAATGGAAGTAATTTATGAGTGAGCACAGTATATATTACTATTTAATGTGCAGATTTTAAAGTACTTTACGAAATAAATTGATATTCGAGAAAAATCGCAATACTTACTAACTAAATACAACCATGAACGAAGAAAAATTTTTGAAGTTATACTTCTATAAGCGCGTTCTGCCTTACAGAGTAAATCAACGATTTCAGATTGGTGACCTTGAGAAAAAGTGTAACGTAAGTGGATTTTGCTTGATTCTCCCGCTTCGCCCCACCTCACTTGACGTACTTCCGGTCCCCCTACACCACCCAACATCATCATCCCACCATACTACACAACAACATGGCACCACACACATTACATACTTTGAATTTTATCATTTTTTTCTTTTAACCATTTTCCAAAAAAAAAAAAAACCCCGTCCTCTTGCACACTGGGCCTTTACCCACTCTGCTATGAGCGGGCCCAATATTGGAAAACCGATTACTTTAATTTATCTTACAGTTCGTAACTTACTTTAAATGTAAATTTTTATTTATTGCTGATTCATTTATTTGGTTTTATTTGACATTAAATACTCATGTTCCTCATTTATGCCGACAAGTACGGCCATTTTGAATGTTCAGTTAATTTTTGACAGCTGCTTTGCTTGCACGTGTTTTGACTCGTCTTCGATTTTTGCCTATTCCAAAAAATGGATCAAAGAATCTGTATTAAATTTTGTGTGAATTACGTCATAACCATAAACTCATGATTCGTCACCAGTTATGACCCTCTGGAGCAAATTTGGGTCGTCGCGGACAGAGTCCAACATCTCCTGAGCAATGTTAATGCGATGCTGTTTTTGGTCGAAATTGAGCAATTTTGGTACGAATTTCGCGGCGACCCGTGTCATGCCCAAATCATTGGTAAAAATCGAATGGCACGAACCAATCGATATGTTTAGGTCCTCAGCAACTTCTCTAACGGTGATTCGACGATTGACCAATACTATTTTCTTCACTTCATCAATGTTTTCGTCTGTTGTTGACGTGCTCGGGCGTCCGGCACGCTCTTCGTCGTTCACATCTTCTCGGCCCTCGGAAAACATTTTGTACCACCGATAAACGTTGCTTCGGTCCAAGGTAGCTTTACCATATGCCACAGTCAACATTCGGAATGCGTCCGCGCACTTAATTTTGTTTTTCACACAAAA